TATAATTCAAATGCCACCAACTCTTGCTCTTCTTAATGAATTACAGTAGATTTTCTTGAATAGACCTTTCCTCATTTGCTGTCTGCTTTATGAGAATTTCTGGGAATTTCATATGGTGGCTTTTTAAATACTTTTGATCAATTATACTTGGTTCTCTGGGTCGTTGGTCCACAGAGATCTTCGCTGCCATTCCACAAATGGAACTCACCATGTATACTTGATATATCATTTTGATTTATTGACCTAATAATATCAAAGGCATCAAATAATGGAAAATTTTTTAAAATAATTTTTAGGGGCACCCGGGTGACTTAGTCAGTTAAGTGGCTGCCTATGGCTCGGTTCATGATCCCAGTGTCCTGGGGTGGAGTCCCACATCAGGCTCCTTGCTTGGCGGGAAGCCTGCTTCTCCCTCTGCCTCTGCCTGTACTCTGCCTGCCTGTGTGCTCTCTCTCTCTCTCTGACAAATAAATAAATGAAATCTTTAAAAAAATAAATAAAAATAAAAATAATTTTTAAAAAGCAGCTGGAGACAGCATTATGGGTGTGGCACAGCCCTCATGATGCTGAGATGGAATAATAATCTTTCACGTTCAAAGAGGAGCTCTAAAGTAGTCTACAGTGAGAGCTGGGTCCCCCTGAATAATCACGCGCAGACTTTGGATGTGACTGGAGACTGATCGGTGGATGTCAGTAGGGATAGATGACCACTGAAGATTGATCTTTACCAATGCTTGGTGCTACATTAGCCCCTAGAACCTAGATACTATCATCTTCATTTTCTGCTCTTTTACAGAAGAGAGAATTGGGAAGAAACTGAATTGCATTAAAATGACAACTTTCTTGCACCATTAAAATTGTAGACTAGGATTTAGATCAGCTGTAAAAGTATAGGCAATTTTTTTTTTTTGACAAGTTTAGCAGGGAGCTGAAGGAGAGAAGAGAGGAGGAGGAATAGAAGAGGCTTTGGAGTTTTTCCTTTTAAGTGAGAGCTTATGCGCTCACGGGAGGGATTTGGTTCAGGGGGAAAGACTAAGACTACCATGGAAAGATCATGAGATTCCTAAGGCTAGAGAGGACACCAGTTTCCTTACAAATGGAAAGACAGAGCTGAGGACTGGTGTAAATCCAATTCAGTTGGTAGCATTTGATGGCTAAAATATGAAGATCTGTGCATCTGATGGCTTCTGTTTTTCTTGGGGAAGTAAGAGCAAAGGTTATCTTTCAAGAGGGGAGTGTCAGTTACAAGTTCAAGCAGAGAGTCTGAAGGGTCACTAAAGTGAGCAGAAAAGAGTGGGATGATGAGCAAAAAGTTTCAGATTGCTGGGGAGGGGAGAGGGGTTGGAGAGGCCATGGACTCTAGGTGCTGGGGGTACTAACTGATCTGATCTATGACTTTTCTCCAGTCGTGCTCAGCGACTCTGGAGCCGGAATGGAGAAGACAGGTGACTGGGGTCATCTAGGGCTGGGATTATACCAGAAAGTAACTGCTCAGAATATTTCCATACACTTTAAAATCACCTACCTTGTGTCACTGTTCTCTCTCTATATATATATAAAAAATCCTTTCTTTCACATTTTACAGTATTTCCCCATCCCTTTGATAATTGCCTTTATCTTCTCTGGCCCTTTCCCAGGTTTCCCATTTTCTTTTACAAATTAGAGGCGCAGCACGGAGCAGTCGTTAAGACAGGACTTCTAGCACCAATCTGCTAGGTTTGTATAGGTATGTATAGCACCCACTTCCTGTGTAACCTTAAGCAAATCACATAGCACCCCTATGCCTCAGTTTTATCATCTGTAAAATGGGGGTAGTGATAATATAGTACCTTCCTAGAGAGTTGCTTTGAGGATCAGATAGAGTCATGTATGTACTATGCTGAGTGTGACTTATTACTGTTACTGTCGTTCCAATGAAACGCTCAAACAGGAAGCAGAATGAGACATGAAGGATGACATTCTGTCCTTTATGTATTATGCAATATTTAATGTATCCCAATATTTCATAGCTTCTCTTTCTCCTCTTTAAACAAAATCACTTATATGTACACTCAGTCAGCATGAGGAAAAGTCTGTCTTAAGTTTGAGAGTCATTTGTCCTCCATCTTTTATTCAAGGCATTAATTTCTGTCTCAAAATATCTACAACTGGACCACATCGGTTGCTGGCCTTCACATATCTTTTGCTTCTAAATCCATCTCCTTTGATAACCACTTCTGAAAATGTTACACCTTTTCTTCCCCGCAGGGAGAGTCCTGATTAGGGCCAGTTTTTATAAAGCACAAGATCCTCAGTTAGACTGTGAGCCCTCTTAAAGCAGATGCTGTGATTTCTACCTTTAAGTAGCTGAGCACCCAGGAAGTTGCCCAGTGTAAAGTAGGAAATAAAGACTGTAGGTGATGGTGGGGACGATGATGTTGATGATGATGGTTATGGTGATAGAGATGATGACATTGTTGGTGATGAAGAGAATGACAGAACTTGGGGTACTATACACGGACCTTTGAGGGGGCAACAGAGGGTAAAGAAGAGAATAAAAGCCTTCAAATCTAGATAGACTGTGGTTCAAATCCTGGTTCTATCACTAACTAGTTGTATAGCTTCAACTAAACAAGCAAACAATACCTTAATTTTTTAAGTAACTTATTAGCACTGTTCTCTCTTTACCCTCTCATTTTTGCCAGCCCTGATGCTTATAGCTCCTGGAAGAACAATTTCTTCCCCATGCTAACCCTTTCTTAAAACTTCCTACCCCTACATACCAAGAGTTAGGATGGGCTTCCTTTCCTGCCTTGAGGTCCTTCGTGTCACCACCTTGTCACTTCCAATGTCTCCGATTTTCCCTTCACTCACCAGGAAAGTTTATTCCATGCCATAGTTATTTTTAAATACCTTCCTTTGATTTTTCTCTTCAGGCAATACTCCATTTTATACCACATTTTCCCCCTTCCCTTAAGATCCCTCACTCTCCTCCTGCCTTTATTCACAGTTGCTGAATTCCTATTCTCTGATAATTTTGCTAACTGGAAGACTTATCATTTCCTCCTAAATGCCAGACATTACTTCCATTTTCTCAGAATGCCAAAAACCACACAATTGTTTTGCCTTTAACAAATACTATAGATATTTGTTAAATGTTAGTTTAGCTGCATTAAGTCTGTGTGTGTGTGTGTGTGTGTGTGTACACATCCATACATATAATGAGTGCTAAAGAGGAGAGATTATCTCATCAATTTTGTATTACATCGAGTGTAGCAAGATATATATAGATAATTTATAAAACTTATGATCATAATGATGCCATGACCATGGGAAAAAATTAAGTATCTTTAGCTCTGACATGAATCATGTATTTCCATCTTTGACAGAATAGTGACATATACCCACCTATCACACAGAAGTTCAAATACTCATTAACATCTTTAAATACAAGGAAAAAAAGGTGGTTATTTCACATTGAAATCTTTATATGATAGCTGATATCATACCATATCTAGTTTAAAGTACTTATTTAAGTAAGTCTGTAAAATGTTGAAAACAAAAGGGGTAAGGTGGAGAAAGGGAAAGAAAGAGGGAGAAAACATAAAAATATCTTTTAAAATTCTGAGTAAATGATTCTGTAAACAGTGGCATTTAAGGTGAGAAATTTCACACACACAAATCCTAAATTTTGCTTTTGAATTTTAAAAAGCATCTTTCTTTTGCACATTTCTGAAAATATCTCCAGCTTGATGGAATTTTTTGACTTTATACAAATTATTAACACCCTATTACATCTAGTAATACCACATCTATTCTCCCTAATAACTACATTTTTTAGACAAATCATGTCTATAAAAGCAAGAATTCATTTCTTTTCATAAATATACCCAAACTTCCAAATACAGGAGAATATAATGCCCATGGAAAGCTCTATGTTTATTCCAAGAATATAGCCACGTCTCAAAATGATTTTAGAATTCTTCTTTGTAATCATCTTGGGTTCGTGAGCCACATAGGAAAGCCAATCTTGTTACTTTATAGAGCTTTTATTTTTGTATACCTAAAAAAGAAAAAATTAGCATTACTTACCTGACTCAATCAACTTGACTTCAAATTACATTTTTGGCTGCATTTAAAAATCAAATTTACCTCAAAAGGCAAGATGTTCTACTACGAAAGTTATTTTTTTTTTAATATGAAAGTACTCTGAGAACAGCATCCCCAAAATGAATAGAAACAAAAGTAGCAGGTGAGGGTAAAGGTAAAGCTTTAAAGCTTCCCAAGGCAGATAATTTGGTGGGTAGATTGAGGGACATTAATTTTTAAAGTATAATCTTGGAATATGTTTTTAAACAGCCACATTTCTTTATGTTTATACTTCTCTTGGCCCTTCAGATGGTTGATTTCCTGGTAATAAGACACAATTTCAAAATCCTTGAATGGTTTAAAATGGGATATGAATATAGTTTCCCACAAAGATTACAGGGACATGGGGTGAGAGAAAGTGCACCAAAGTGTGTAAAGGATTTTTCGTTTCTAACGGGAGCACCCAAACCGTGCGTCAAAGGTGAGAGTTCTAACAATCTCCACTTTTGTTGGATGCTGGTGATTTGGAGGGCTTTCAAGTAATTTTGAAGGTCTCCTATTCTTTCCTGAAACTCTATGTATTTGAACAAATCCTGGTTCCATTCAAAGATTTTTGTTTGTTCGTTTCACAGTGTGATTCCTGTAACATGAGCCTATCAGTAATTGTGAATTCTATTTTTGTCATTTTTGGCACTTAACAGTTCACAATGCTTGGTTGTGTGGTTTGATATTGTTTTAATTTTTGCATTTTACATTTGGCACTTTGGAAGAAGGGCACATTGTCTTGCACGTCGTTTGGGGAAAGTGGTAAGCCTCCCCCTCTGTCTCTTTTTTAAATGCTTGGGTTTGTGAAATAACATGATTCTCCCCGGAATCCTGTATCATTAAACGGAGCAGGTGAAATTTCGCCTTCACAAGGCGAAATGTGTGCATCCTAACCCTTCTTAGAGGCTGGTGTCCCCAGCTTCGGATTTAGGTTGTTTGACCCCTGCTGTCACAGGCCCTGGGGGCCCCTCCCTGCAGAAAAGCACAACTGGATTTTTTCGAGCCCACATGGCCACATCCCCTCCCATCCTGCTGGCCTGGTTGGAAGAGGACATCCGGCCGCAGGCTCCCAGCCGGTGGGCGTAGCGGTTTCGAAGGCGATTGCGGCTTCTGGCCTGCAGACCCGGGCCCTGGCTAGGCAGGAAAGCGTCCACATTCCTAGTCCGGTAGCCCTCTTCCCGGCTGCGTCCCAGGAGCATCGAAATGTTGGGGTTGCGAATGGCATAGATGACGGGGTTGATGGCCCCGTTGGCCCAGGTCAGCCAGACCGCCACCACGTTGACAACGAGCGAGGGGGCCTGCGCGGCCTGGGCGTGCCGGGCCGCGGCCAGCAGCACCAGGAAGCAGTAGGGGCCCCAGCAGCAGATGACGAAGACGATCATGATCAGCACGGTGGTGGCCGTGCGCACCTCGCTGAAGAAGCGCAGCACGCGCGCGTACGTGGTCAGGGGCCGCACGCGCACGTCCGACAGGCGCACGGTCTTGCAGATGTGGTAGTGGCAGAAGCACATGAGCAGGAAGGGCAGCAGGTAGCAGGCCACCACCAGCCCCACGCTGTAGGCCGCGCCCAGCTGCGCGGGGTCCGGGGACGTACGGTACAGGCAGCCGTGGAAGCTCTGCGCCGCGGGGGGCTCCCGGGGCGCGCGGAGCAGCTCCCAGGGCAGGGAGAAGCCCAGCGCCGCCAGCCAGGCGCCCGCCAGCAGCTGCAGCGCGCGGCGGCGGCCGATCTTCTCCCGCGGCGGCCGCACGATGGCGCAGTAGCGGTCCAGCGAGATGAGGGCCACGCTGAGCGTGGACACGATGCCGAAGCACGAGCTGAAGAAGCGGCTGGCGGCGCAGAAGCCGCGCCAGGGCCCCGCGGCGGCGGCGGCGGCGGCGGCGGGGGCGGCGGGGGCCGAGCCCCCCGGCGGCGTGAAGAGGTCCAGGAAGGCAGCGGGCAGGCAGAGCAGCGCCGTGAGCAGATCCGACAGGGACAGGGACAGGATGAAGGCATTGGTGACGGTGCGGAGCTGCCGGTGCTTCACGATCACCCCCATCACCGCGCAGTTGCCCAAGCTAGACAGCAGGAAGATGAGCAGCAGCACGAGCGCCTGGGCCGCCACCGCCGCCCCGTGCGACAGCAGCGGCCTCCCCGCCGCCCCCGCCGCCCGGGGCCCGCCCAGGCCGCCGCCAGCCGAGGCGCCAGTGCCGTCGCCCCCGCTCCCGTCGCTCTGGTTCCCCAGCGCCGCGGTAGCCGCGCTCGCCACGGTGCCGAAGGAGAGCACGGCCGCCGCCGTCCCGGCGGAGGAAGTCCCGCCAGGGCCGGCGGCCGCGGAGGGGGCTCCGGGGTGCGGGCTGCCCCACAAGGCCATTCTCGGTGGCGGGCGGACCGGCGGCTGCGGCTGCTCCTCCATGGGGCCCCGCGGCGCCGGCGGCTGTGTTCATCCCGCACCGGGGAAGCGGCCGCAAGCCCCAGGCGGGGGTGGCTCGGGCGCGGGCCAGAGGCCTGTGTCGGCAGTCGGGCTCGGCGGGAGGAGTGGCGGTCGCCCGGGACCCGGCGGAGCCTTTGACGTGGGTTCGACGAGTTGCCGAGGGAACCGTGTTTACGCAGGAGCGCGGGGCGGGACGCCGCCCACCCGGCTCCCTCGGAAAAGCCGGCCCGCACCACCTCTCCCCGAGGTTATCCGGCCTGGGGGTCTGGGCTTTCGAGGGGTTCGGGTCGACCCCCTCGGGGGCCTCCAGGAAAAGCGGGACCGGCCGTCAGAGAAATGGCCAAAACCAACAAGGGTTCACTCTCAAGCCGTCTTGTTGGATACAAATGTCCTACGGGGAGGCCTTTGTTGTGCTTCCTGTTGACGTGTCTGGCGCTTGCAGGTAGGAAAGGGATCCCGCCGCTGAAGTGAAAAGCAGTCCAAATCCGGAGAGTTAAACTTTGGGAGCAGAATAATATGAAGCAGGTGTTCTCATACTTGAGCACGCAGCAGAATCAGGTAGAGGGCTTCTTAAAACACAAGTGACGGGGCCTCACTGGAGTTTCAGATAGGGTAGGTCTGGGGTCCTCTCCCAGAATTGGCATCTCTAACGAGTTCATAGGTAGTGATGATATTGCTGCTCGGAGGACCTCACTTTGAGAACCACAAAAGTATGAGCTTTTTAAAATGCACACTCACTGGCTGACTCCTAGGTTTAGGATGGACCCATGAATCTAAACCCCGAAGGTAATTCTGATATAGGGGCTCTGAGGAGTTAGGATATGGATTTTGGAGGCTACATATCGTTTTGTTTTCAAGGGCCTAGACCTCAGGACCATAACAGGTTCACACATGATGGGGATGGGGGATAGAGAGCAATTGGTTCCTTGCCCTCCTGGCTGGCATCCTTCCTCAGTTCTCTGGAATGTAGTGTGTGTGTGTGTGTGTGTGTGTGTGTGTGTGTTTTAAAAGATTTTATTTATTTATTTGACAGAGACCACAGGTAGGCAGAGAGGCAGGTGGAGAGAGGCAGAAGGGGATGCAGGCTCCCTGCTGAGCAGAGGGCTGGATGTGGGGCTTATCCCAGGACCCTGAGATCATGACATGAGCATTAGGCAGAGGCTTAACCCACTGAGCCACGCAGGCGCCCCATGCAATGGGGTGTGTTTTAAGTCTAAAGTGGTACCAGCCAGGGAGTTACCACTGACACCGCTGCAGGTAGCTGGCTGGGAGATTCCGGGACTGGGAGCTCCCGCCTGCCCAGGGAAGCTGCATCTCAAGCTTCTGAGCGCAGCCGCTAATGGGGGAAGATGTGATAAACTCCTAGGTTTCTCTAAAACCATGGTTTGCAAAGTGTGGACCCTACACCAGCAGCATTAGCATTACCTGGGACCTTGGTAGAAATGCAGATTCTCAGGCCCTGCCCCAAGTCTATCAAATCTGAATTCTGGGAGTGGGGTCCAGCCAGACACCCTGCAAGTGATTCTGATGCACATAGTTTGAGAAACAGGACTCTAAAGAATGACTGGCCCACTTGCCCATCTTAGAATCACTGATAGTAGTGCTTTGAATGCTTATTTCAGTCAGGAAAAGTAGCTTGCTGGAAATTTGCAGTGTATTTAAGGTGGTACATTAATGCATTATAGGAGTGCGTGCTAGGATGTTTGGCAGTATCTCTAGCCTCTACCCACGACATGCCAGTAGTGACAACTAAAAACGTCCCTGGAGGAAGGCAGGATGACCTCAACTGAGAACCACTGAATTAAGACAAACATATATAATAGATGAATTTATTTAGCAAATCTCTGCTAGGTTTTCAGAGATAAAGATCTCAGCCCAAGGAAGCTTACAATTTTAGGTTGACAGTATCCAAAGTGCTGTTTAAAAATATAATGAAATTCTATAGAGGTGACTGACTCTTCCTAGGGTAGCTGGTGAAGACTTCCCTCCAGTGGTGACTTTGGATTCTCCAAAAAGAGAAGACAGGGAAGGACATTGGATTCCTGTGCAAAGTCTGCAGGTCAGTGCCTAAGTCCTTGACTCTTGGGTACTGGTGAGTGAGGTTAGGGAGTGAAGAGAGAAATAAATGATAAAATGATAAATGATAAAAGTTGACTGAGGGACTCTTATGAAGGCCTCACAGGCCATGTTACAGAGGTTGAACTGCACTGGGGACAGATGTGGCAAAGGCACCAGCCGTGGAAGGAGTTGAAGCATGGGAAGGCCGTAATCAGGTATGGTTCAGAAAGAAAAGAGTGACCTCCTGCTCTCCCAGTGTTCTGCCGGCCATGTTTGCCTCAGTGTCCCCAGCCTGTTCGCCCCCATCATCTGCCTCTAAATACCAGAGCCCTCTACTATAGTCCTTGGCAGCTCTGAACTTCCTCCCTCATCACACCCGCACCCAGAGCTTTGAAAACCATATATCCCTAACTCCATACTACATCTCTAGCCTCAAGCCCTATTGCTTGTTACTTGGTATCTCCCCTGAAGGTGCAAAAACACCTCAAACTCAACATGACCAAAATGGAATTCGTGATCCACTTTTCCTAAAAACCCTTGGTCCTCAACCTTTTGTATCTCAGAAGATGGCACTATCTTCCATCTAGAAAACTTAGGCTTCTTTCTAGATTAATTCCTTTTCCTCAACACCAAACCAGCCAATGTCCGATTTAGCACCAAGATTTAGGGATTTGACATGTTAAATGTCTTTGTATCCATTCATTCCTTTAAAAAAAAAAAGATTTTATTTATTTGACAGAGAGAGAGATCACAAGTAGTCAGAGAGGCAGGCAGAGAGAGAGGAGGAAGCAGGCTCCCCACTGAGCAGAGAGCCCGATGCAGGGCTCGATCCCAGGACCCTGAGATCATGACCTGAGCCGAAGGCAGAGGCTTTAACCCAATGAGCCACCCAGGCGCCCCCATTCATTTCTTTCATCACTTCATTCCCCCACCTAAATTTTAGCTTTCATTCTCTCTTCTTTGAACTACTGCTGCCACTCGGAACTGGTATCCCACATCCAGTCCCTATTCTACCCTGTAGGCAACACGCCCTTCTAAGCAAAATATATTTGATCATGCTACTCACTGATTTAAAACCCTCTGACGACTTTCCCATTTTAATTTAGGATAAGGTCCCCAATTCTTAGTATTTCCTACAAGGCACTGCATGACCTGACTGCTTCCTTTCTGGTCTCATCTGGGGCCACGTTCCTTCTTTCTGCTCCACTCTAGTCACACTGGCCTTTTATGAGTTTTTTTAACCTCCCATCATAGGGCAAAGGGCATTTGCACTCACTATCCCCTCTGCCTAGAGAGCTCCATTCCTTCACCTTCCCCCATTCCCTTGCATCCTTGTCTCCACATGAATGTTAGTCTCCCAGAGGTAGGCTTTCTTGCCTAGTAGCACATCAGCACTGTCTAGAATTATATTTTTGTGATGAATCATTACTTGTCTCCCACTGTAGACTGTAGGCTTTGTGAAGACTAGAACTTTGTCTGCCTGGCATGTTATTAGATCCTGAACACTTAGCATTTTGGAAAACTGCTAGATACACAAAACCTATTTTTGATTGACTGTAGAAGAGAACCTGGCAGCCAGGAGACCAGTTAGTCCAGATAAGAAATGAGAAGAGTCTGAATTAAGACATAGTGAAGAAGGAGAAGAGATTTTCAGGAAGTAGTATACGAATTAGGGTCTCTGGCTATAAACAATATGCACAGGCACGGTCTCACTTAAAAAAAAAGGGGGGGATTCATTGGAGGATGGGGGAATTCAGATTACAAAAGAATAACCTAATAGCTAGCCCCAAGAACAAGAGAAATCAGGGCAGAGATAGCAGGTAGAGACGCAGAAACGAATGGAGGGCAATCTCTTTAAAGCACTATTGGAGTATGTCCAGGTCAGCCATTTTCAGACCTTATGGCATTTCTCTCAAGATCCCAGGTCCAGGGAGAGAGTCTGGCAGTTCCAGCAAGGCTGCGTGCAGAGGATGGAGAGAGTTTTCCACAAGGAAAGGTGAGTGTTGTTGATAAAGGAAGGAGTAAGGAATGACTCCAGCCAAATCCACAGACATCTTCCTCTGAAGCTTCCTCTGAAGTGCCCTTCCTCTGCCCTACAAAAGGGCATGAACAAGAAGGATAAATCGCAAGTTCACGGCTCGTGGGAAGGAGGTACCATTCATCAATTTAGAGAATACAGGAGGAAGGGCACATTCTAGGGGCGTTAGAGTTTGACTTGCCCACCAAATACTGGGCCTGCAGTACGGCTCTGACCCTCAGGATTTAGGGATTTGGAAGTTGTCAGCCTCTCTCTCCAAGAAAGAAAAACATGGGCATGGATGTGATGAGTAGGGACAGGGTGTTGAGTGCAGAAAGAGAAGAACCATGGGTGGAATGCAAGGGAGTAGAAAAAACTAAGAAGCAGGTCAAAGGAGAAAAGCTAGGCAGGTGAGCGACATATTTAATGAGGCACCCTGGCCAATTGAGAAGTCAGTGGTCTTGTGTTTTTGGTTTTTATTTTGTTTTGGTTTTCAAAGTAAGGTAATTTTCTCAGCCTCTTCTCAGGAAAGTTGCTGTGACCATGAGGTCGCCTCTCCGTGGAGAGCTCGCAGCTTCCTTATATGTTTTAGAGCAAAAAGGAGAAGACTCACCTGTAAAGCCTGGTCCCAAATGGGTCACTAAAATCGATCAGTTATCAAGTTTTCTCCTAAATGCAGTCATAGGCATAGCATCAGCATCACCCAGGAGCTTGCTGGAACTGCCCCCCGCATACCTAATAAACAAGAACATGTAGTTTAAGAGCTCCAGGTAATTCATACCCACATGTATGAGAAGCATTATCCTAAAGAGGGATGGTATGGAATTTGTGGGTTTTAGGAATTGAAGAGAAGGGTGCCCCAAGTCTTACGGGGTCTAGAGGACTTGGAGCAAAACTCATTGCAACTTCATGGTGAAGAGGAGATGGCC